GGAATGAGTCTTATTGCTCAGGTAAAGTTGGAGATGAGGTCACAAATATACAAAAAAAAACATTTGGTAAGTTTTATTCAATGCGTCTATTCAGAGTAACATACCAACCTGTCGTTTCATTTGCTGCTTAGTATATAAGCAATAACACGTAAACCACTTGAGAAGTGCTTTTTATGATCCTCAAAGTTTGTGGGTATGGGTTCAACGCGGCAAGAATATTCATTCACTTTGATTCACCCACTCCGTTCGTTTGCCACCTCCCTCTCTGTTCGGATAAGCTGGTGATTTGGCGACAGACAGTATGTGGTCAGCTCTATTTATCTTGATGTCAAGTTTCTGAAATACTGACAGAGTGCATTTCCGGCTGTCTATTTCTCAAAATATCTTGGCAAAAATTTTCATTTACTTTGATTCACTGACTCCGTTCGATTGTTTGGCACTTTCCTCTCTGGTCGGATAAACTAGTGCTTTGGCGATAGGCGTTATTTGCAGTAAGCTCTATTTTTATCTCGACGATCAGTGCCTGAAATACTGCCAGACTGCATTTCCGGCAGTCTATATTAAATTTCCGAGGGGTTCGTTGAGGTCGGCAAGTCCGTACGTTTGACAATTTCTTCTCTGGTCGGATAAACTAGTGATCAGGCAGCAGGCGGTATCTGATCAGCTCTATATATCAAAATGTTCTGGTGGAGGTCCCCCCATAAGGGCTCGCTACTTTGGCGCCCACGAGGGACCTTCGTCGAGGTTCGTTTCTTGATACTTTCCGCTCTGGTCGGATAAGCTAGTAGTCAGGCGACTGGTGATATCTGGTAAGCTCTATTTATCTCGACTATCGGTGCCTGACTGCATTTCCGGCAGTCTGTTTACTTTTTAAATATTTCTGGGGAGGGGGGGGGGCATAACCCTGGTTGAAGCTCGCGCCTTTACCCCCTTAACCTTGAACTTTGCCCCGGCTTTGCCCCTCCATCCACTGCTTGGGCTTATACTTATTATACAGGGGCCACATACCCAGGATCCTATACTTATTGTACAATGGCCCTTATGGGTTTCAATATATTATATAAGGTTTTTGTTACGGTTATACGCACCGCAATAAATTAGTTTCAGTGGGCGCCCAGATACCCGTGGACCTTAGTCTAATGGCCTACTACGCCTAGTGGCAAATCCGGCCCCGCCCTCCTAGAATTGTACACTTATAGTAATTACATCAATCGTGTCCCCATCATAAATGAAAAACTACAAAGTCCAGTTTACAATATTTCTTTTATTTTAACATACATTTCATGTTTTTGTTCCAACAATTGCACTATGAGTAATCCCTCTTTATTTACAGTATTTACATAAGATAATATACCATCTTTCATAGATCCTCCTTAAAGATATATTCCCTCCAGCATAATTAGGTCACAGATCCTCCTTAAAGATATATTCCCTCAAGCTTAATCAGGTCATAGATCCTCCTTAAAGATATATTCCCTCCAGCATAATTAGGTCACAGATCCTCCTTAAAGATATATTCCCTCAAGCTTAATCAGGTCATAGATCCCCCTTAAAGATATATTCCCTCAAGCTTAATCAGGTCATAGATCCCCCTTAAAGATATATTCCCTCCATAATAATTAGGTCATTTATAGAGCATGTCGTTCATAACGAGTCGTTGCTTGGTAACGCCGACGATCGCCAATTCATTGTCATGCGAGTAAACTGCTATAACAGCCGTTACATAAAACTTTGTAGATTGTCAAAAAACAATTATCTTTATTCATTTACGTTATTTATTAAAGATTGGATAAAAGCTATAAAAGTTCAAAACTAGACTATGCTGAAAATTTCAGCCAAATTACTTCACTCTGGACCTAGATATTAGCGACAGAATTTTAGGCGAGCCTCGATCGTCATTACTATCGTTGTTACGATAATAAACAAAATCTCGGTTATCCAATTTTATAGTAACCGCATCCACCAGAAAAATATTTGAATCCACTAAATGTCGCAGGCATCCGATGGCATCAAGAGTTGATTATTGCTTTGGTAAGTTAATTAATGTCTAATTAATGATTTAGATAACATTTCGGGCCTAAAGAAAGATCTGCAATAGGCAGATTTAGCTTTTGCATAATGCTTGATTAATATAAACTTGCTGTAATGTTTAAAATTGTAATGTTTATAACTGATCCTTTTGATAGACCTATGTGTCAATAAGTCAAACTAAACAAAAACACTTTGTTGAAGACATAATGTTTTGGGTAGGAAATATAGTTTTCCGCCCTCCTTGGTGTAATTAGGACCAAGACTGTTGAGGAAATATATCTTTAAAATGGCAAACAGTTTATTCTTTAAACGTTCTTGAGACAATTTGAGCAATACCAGTTTTTTATGATGTGTAATTCATACTTAAATAAATATTTTAATATAATTTTTTTTTATTTATATATAATTTTAAAAAACAAAATCTTGAATATAAGGCACATTGGTTAATCTTAAACATAACAAATATGACGTTTTCCCGTTCCGAACATATATTCGAGATATGCAAATCGAGATAAAAAGACTCATGTTAAACGTTTTTACAAATTTGAACACAGAAAATGGTGTTACCATGTTCTAACCTTTTATTTCTAATACAAAGTTTGAGCATTTACCGATAATGAATTACACGAGCTGGTTAGTTTGTTCCAGCAAACTTAATAAAACAATAAATTAATAAAAACGCGAACGCGGCGATCGCATTCGATTGATTAACTACTATATGAACGCCGTCGAAATTTTATTTGCGTGGAAAACCAAGGAGATTGAGTTAGAGACATAGCTACTTTAAGACTTGCCTTGATGCATTATATACTCACATTAAGATGGCACATACAGTTCGGATTGTTTGAATCTGGTAGAGAATCGCCGACTTGTGGGTGGATAGGCGGAAAAAGCGCTGTTTGGGCAAAAATACCCTCCCTAAAGCATCGATGAGAGCTTGATCGATGTAGCACACTGCTGTGATGCCGCCTCCTCTCCCGGACCAAGATTTTGGAACACCAAAGGACCCACTCTCTGGTTCAGGCCGATTCCACCCCAAACCATTATGCTTGGACCTCCCCATGAGTCTCGTTCCATGACACATTGGTCAGAATAATGCTGGCCACGTCGACGCCATATTCTGGCCCTGTCATCTGCAGTTGATACGCAATACCGACTCTCATCTGGGAACAGAACAGTTCTCCATTGCCTGTGTCGCCAGTTTTGGTGTTGTTGGGCAAACTGTAGACGTTCACGTCGATGGCGAGGGGTGGGGATCGGTCCACGGTAAGGTCTACGGCAATGGATGTTCTCTCTGGTGAGACGTCGGCGCACTGTATCGGTACTGATGGATCTTCCATGTGTTCCCACTGTCCGACGTGCTGTCTCAGATGCCTGTGTGAAGGGATTCTGCACGTGCTGTCGCACAACATGGTGGTCTTGTCGCCATGTAGTAACCCTTGATCTATCAGTTCGGGGCGATTATCCGTGGTCTTGGTGGCCCGAAAGCGTTGCTGAAGCCTGTAGATGGTCCGAGCATTGACCTGGAAGTGATTGGCAACGGCTTGGGCAGTGTGGCCAGCATCGAGCTGTCGTGAGTCGTGGCATGCTGCTGACGTTGTAGTGTAAATGATTCAACCAGGTATGGGAGTGGATTTTATAGGGCTGGTTCCGGTGAACAGCACGTGCATCTCAGAAGTCAGGTTGCGTTTTTGAGAACATTTCCTGGGTTCAATCCTGTGTTTGGGAAGGAGTCTTATTGCTCAGGTAAAGTTGGAGATGAGGTCACAAATATACAAAAAAACCATTTGGTAAGTTTTATTCAATGCGTCTATTCAGAGTAACATACCAACCTGTCGTTTCATTTGCTGCTTAGTATATAAGCAATAACACGTAAACCACTTGAGAAGTGCTTTTTATGATCCTCAAAGTTTGTGGGTATGGGTTCAACGCGGCAAGAATATTCATTCACTTTGATTCACCCACTCCGTTCGTTTGCCACCTCCCTCTCTGTTCGGATAAGCTGGTGATTTGGCGACAGACAGTATGTGGTCAGCTCTATTTATCTTGATGTCAAGTTTCTGAAATACTGACAGAGTGCATTTCCGGCTGTCTATTTCTCAAAATATCTTGGCAAAAATTTTCATTTACTTTGATTCACTGACTCCGTTCGATTGTTTGGCACTTTCCTCTCTGGTCGGATAAACTAGTGCTTTGGCGATAGGCGTTATCTGCAGTAAGCTCTATTTTTATCTCGACGATCAGTGCCTGAAATACTGCCAGACTGCATTTCCGGCAGTCTATATTAAATTTCCGAGGGGTTCGTTGAGGTCGGCAAGTCCGTACGTTTGACAATTTCTTCTCTGGTCGGATAAACTAGTGATCAGGCAGCAGGCGGTATCTGATCAGCTCTATATATCAAAATGTTCTGGTGGAGGTCCCCCCATAAGGGCTCGCCACTTTGGCGCCCATGAGGGACCTTCGTCGAGGTTCGTTTCTTGATACTTTCCGCTCTGGTCGGATAAACTAGTAGTCAGGCGACTGGTGGTATCTGGTAAGCTCTATTTATCTCGACTATCGGTGCCTGACTGCATTTCCGGCAGTCTGTTTACTTTTTAAATATTTCTGGGGAGGGGGGGGGTGCATACCCCTGGTTGAAGCTCGCGCCTTTGCCCCCTTAACCTTGAACTTTGCCCCAGCTTTGCCCCTCCATCCACTGCTTGGGCTTATACTTATTATACAGGGGCCACATACCCAGGATCCTATACTTATTGTACAATGGCCCTTATGGGTTTCAATATATTATATAAGGTTTTTGTTACGGTTATACGCACCGCAATAAATTAGTTTCAGTGGGCGCCCAGATACCCGTGGACCTTAGTCTAATGGCCTACTACGCCTAGTGGCAAATCCGGCCCCGCCCTCCTAGAATTGTACACTTATAGTAATTACATCAATCGTGTCCCCATCATAAATGAAAAACTACAAAGTCCAGTTTACAATATTTCTTTTATTTTAACATACATTTCATGTTTTTGTTCCAACAATTGCACTATGAGTAATCCCTCTTTATTTACAGTATTTACATAAGATAATATACCATCTTTCATAGATCCTCCTTAAAGATATATTCCCTCCAACATAATAAGGTCACAGATCCTCCTTAAAGATATATTCCCTCAAGCTTAATCAGGTCATAGATATATTCCCTCCAGCATAATTAGGTCATTTATAGAGCATGTCGTTCATAACGAGTCGTTGCTTGGTAACGCCGACGATCGCCAATTCATTGTCATGCGAGTAAACTGCTATAACAGCCGTTACATAAAACTTTGTAGATTGTCAAAAAACAATTATCTTTATTCATTTACGTTATTTATTAAAGATTGGATAAAAGCTATAAAAGTTCAAAACTAGACTATGCTGAAAATTTCAGCCAAATTACTTCACTCTGGACCTAGATATTAGCGAAAGAATTTTAGGCCGGCCTCGATCGTCATTACTATCGTTGTTACGATAATAAACAAAATCTCGGTTATCCAATTTTACAGTAACCGCATCCACCAGAAAAATATTTGAATCCACTAAATGTCGCAGGCATCCGATGGCATCAAGAGTTGATTATTGCTTTGGTAAGTTAATTAATGTCTAATTAATGATTTAGATAACATTTCAGGCCTAAAGAAAGATCTGCAATAGGCAGATTTAGCTTTTGCATAATGCTTGATTAATATAAACTCGCTGTAATGTTTAAAATTGTAATGTTTATAACTGATCCTTTTGATAGACCTATGTGTCAATAAGTCAAACTAAACAAAAACACTTTGTTGAAGACATAATGTTTTGGGTAGGAAATATAGTTCTCCGCCCTCCTTGGTGTAATTAGGACCAAGACTGTTGAGGAAATATATCTTTAAAATGGCAAACAGTTTATTCTTTAAACGTTCTTGAGACAATTTGAGCAATACCAGTTTTTTATGATGTGTAATTCATACTTAAATAAATATTTTAATATAATTTTTTTTTATTTATATATAATTTTAAAAAACAAAATCTTGAATATAAGGCACATTGGTTAATCTTAAACATAACAAATATGACGTTTTCCCGCTCCGAACATATATTCGAGATATGAGCATTTACCGATAATGAATTACACGAGCTGGTTAGTTTGTTCCAGCAAACTTAATAAAACAATAAATTAATAAAAACGCGAACGCGGCGATCGCATTCGATTGATTAACTACTATATGAACGCGGTCGAAATTTTATTTGCGTGGAAAACCAAGGAGATTGTCTCCAGGGCAAATTTGTTTGGATCAGTTCGCTCGGTCAGTTTTCACCAGTCAATCAAAAGACCTTCATGGTCAATGGGTCATTGTCATCCGCGAATTTCCGCGCGTATCGTCGCTTTCAGTACGAACTATGATTCACGCGGAAATTCAGAGAGGTCGCGTACGTGTTCGCACTCGGCATAAACGTCTCTGTGATCGTTGGCATTACAAAGGATTATATTAAATACGAATACCATAATCCATAAACCAATAAATCAATAATCAATAAATCATCAATAAATCAATAATCAATCAATCATCAATAAAATATTATGCAGATTCACGTATAAAAATAATTATGTACAACTTATAAAATTTGGTAAAAAATAACAATATCTATATAATATTTGGCAAACACCTTAAAAAAGATTATGTCGGCAGAAACATAAAATAGGATTTCAAAATGTAACGAATAATATTCCGATTTGGGTATAGTTGCTTGTTCCAAATATTAAAGATGCATGATGTAAGATTTAGTTAAAGAGCTGGCCGTTCTTGTTATAATAGTTCAACCATGGATAACGACCAATGGATGTATTGAAAATTACTTTATCCACAGCAAAGTTATGGGTGTTTGAAGTTTTCAAATAGACAGATTTAGCTCTTACACAATGCATCTTCAAGAGAGTTATCCGACAGATAAACAAATTATTATCCACATTATCGAATCCTATTACACACTCTTTTTGCATTTTGTGCATTGATCAATTAACATAACATCATTTTAACATAGAGATCGTTACTATGGTTACTGTAACCATGATTATTAGATCCCGGCCAGAAGTAACGCAATAATAGGAAAGCGGTTGCTACTAAAAACAAAACAATAATACAAAAATAGAAATAGAGATAATAAATTACCAAGACGGATGCAGACAACTAATACTAAGTGCACAAATAGTCGATTTTTTGACAAGAAATCCGACAAAACGAAAAAAACAAAAACAACCACATTTATCGACAGTCAAATCTACAAGCGAAATAAACAAATGACACGCTAAAACAAAACACGTATATCGGACGGAAACTACCAAGCCGTCTAATTAATAAATATATGAATGTCTTTATCCGGCATAGGGCGGTGTGGCTTCCCGTTGACATTGTTACAGGACAAAGGGCCTGGCAAGGACAGCGCCTTGTCGTTTGGATGAGACGAAAACCGAGGTCCATTGCACGCATTGGCGTGCACGTAAAATAACCCCTGAGAGTTAAGATCCGTGGTCCATACAGTGCGTAAGGTAAATTGATGACGAACGGTAAATTTTACCTGGGCATTGTACAAGAGAATATCAGATTTTCCTGAAAATCTGGGAGTTACGAAAAGGGGTGCGTGTTATACATGTGTGTTTTACAATATTCAAATTCTAGGACTATTTAGTTATCACAGATATTATGCTGAAAGCGGTGCAGATTACAGAACTAATAACGGTGAAATATAAATATACACTTTCAAAGGAAAGAGCGCCTTAAAATATACAAAAGGCAATAACAACGTAACCGGTAATAATTTCAAAAAATCCTATGATAATTAAAACATAAAAATGAACCCTCATTTTTTAAAATAAGGCAGACTGGGCCCGACGGCCCGAGAAAGACGAATCGAGCTGGTCACGTATTCTTCACGGCAATGGGAACCGAAGGAAACTATTTGGTCCGAGGGGCCCATAAATACTCAGTCCACACCCTGTTTTAAAATCTCACAATTTAACTTGTTTTAGTAATCGGTGTAATCCTTCTTTTTGATTAGCTCCGTCAATAAGGATGGGAAAGGATAACTATATAGATTATAGTCAGGATAGTACATCTTCCACAGTTTATGTAAATTGTTCAATGGCACAGTTTTATAAGCTGCCGTTAAAGTCTGTTTGGGGTAAGTATAGTTACTAGCCACTAATGAACCTTTGATGTTGCCGCGCACTTTGATAGCTTTTAATACATGGTCTATGTCCTTGTTTAAAGTTTCATATTTTCCTACAAAATCGTATGGAATTAAACATGGATGACATTGTTTATAAAATTGTTCCCAGTGTTCATTTAAATTTTCTTCATTATCATCAGCATCGATGACGTATTGTACAAACTCTCGAAACATTACGTCATTTCCTTTCTGAAGTGACGCTTTCGATGGCTTCTTTCTGTATTTTTGAATGATTTTTTTTCCAAAACTCAAATGGAAGTAAGTACTCCATTTCGCTTTAAATTTATTATCATAAGAGGAGTATAGTCTTTCTAAAGGATCGCGAACAAAAGAAAATTTATAATATTTATCGATTCGTTTCTTCCTTTCCGGAGCCGAAAAATCACTTAATCTTTTTAATTGTTTGCTATATTTGGAATGGACATCGCTGACCGAAATGTCCAAATGGCTCTTAACTTTGGCCGCTCCAGACAAAAACACGAGAATTTTTCTCCAATCGTTTTGAGCCACTCCAGGAATTTGACAGTAAAGGAGTTTGTGTTTATCGTCCACGAGTATTTGTTGGAGTTTCACAGACGGAATGAGATCAGCGGTCGGAAGATTTGGACGGAGTTTTTTGCACCAATGTCGCATCGTATGTATTCTATCTTCTTCTTCCGTTAGAGACGGGGCGAAATGAAGCTGAAATAAAAAAAACCAAAACAAATACGTTAGCAATTAGAGATATGGATAGATAAAGATGGGGTTTAACTTCCACTGAAGACAAACTAGGATACGTCGGGACTAACATATAGCACAGTCATCGCCTACTTCAACATTGCACAAGAACATGTCTCTCTCTGAAAGTCTGTATTTAGTTTCTAATAGGGTGCGCGTTGAGATGAACACTTTCCATAATTCCCCGGGGTACCAATTCAAATGACCGAAATATTGTGATCAGTGGACGTAACCCCCTATTTCTCTGTCTGAAAGTCTTTTTTCATGACACTTCTTACAGAAATGATACATAATTTAACGTGCCACTCTTCTGAAATGACGTGTACATGGCACCTCGTTTTTGGTCCCACTCGAATAACTATACGTTGTCCCTTGCCAGGCCCTGCTTCCTGCACCAAACAGGATAATCCCGATGAACATTCTCGGTCATCAACTCGATCGAACACGGGACGCCCAGGTTAGCGAGCCAGCGTCTTACTGGCTGATTCGCCGCGGCTCTCTGGGCTAATGAAGACAAGTTCCATTTACAAAATCGACACATAAAAAAAAAATAAAAACTTACTTCGGTATTCACTTCCTTTTTAACTGGAGCATTTGGTATTTCTGGAGGAGGCTGATTTGATTTTGCTGCTGATGGCCCTGGTAACTTCCGGTCGCCATCTTCTTTTAACTCCCTCATGACGATAAGATGTGAAGTATCATAGGGTTGGGTCATTTCTCGTGTTTCAAATATCTGCCATTTCCCTACAAAACATAAATTACGATTCAAAATTATTATATTTGATTAGAAGTTGATAAAAATATTAATTGTAAAACATTCGAGAATAAACAATTTCTGTCATCAATTGCCGGTACTAAGAAAGTTTGATTGGGGGGGGGGGGGGTGCCGTATTAAGGCTCTGTTGGTCCAAGGGCACATTTTGATAAATGGCCTGAAAATAGAAATATTTTGGATTCTCCGTTAAAAGGAAGAAGGTTAAATGTAAAAACAGAAAATTTATTACAGTCCTGTAATTACTATAAGATTAGAATAGTTGGATTACTACTTTTTATACGCCCACATTTTCATGTGGACGTATATTGTCGCCGCCCCTGTCCGTCCGTCCGTCTACAAATGTTTGTGGACAGACTACAGGTCACAATTTTTATTTTACTTTTCTTGTGGGCTGGATTTTTGGCTGGCTATAAGGCACGTGCCTATAGGGCCTAATGGTTAATCCGGCACAGGGCCGGAGGAAGCGGGGGTAGTGGGGGGGGGGGGTGCAATGGGAGATCTGGGAAAATAGAGCTGAAATAAAGATGAACGTGATAGACACTTGGTCTGTTGCATTCGTATATAAAAGCCGGCACGAGTTTCTTTTACACAGCGTGGTTTCGAATCCCCGGTTGTACGTGACAAGGAGTAGGATCGCCTGTCCAACCTCGTGGGTTTTCTCCGGGTCCTCCGATTTCCTCCCACTGCTAAAGACCCCTACGCTCAAGCGAATTTTTGAAATAAAATTAAACCATGTTAGTCCCGAAATGACCTAATTTGTGTCGAGTGGACGTTAACCCCCCTCTCACCCTCTCTCTCTCTCCCCAGTTTCTCATGCATTTAGTATTTTAAAAGGGTGTCGTAAGTCTTTAGAACCCCATTAAGCCCCCCCTCTCCCTCTCTCTCTCTCTCTCTCTTAAGAAGGAATTATCACTCTCGAAAGTTTGTTTTCCTCCCACTGCTAAAGACCCCTACGCGCAAGCGAATTATAGAAACAAAATTGAACCATGTGTTAATCCCGAAATGACCTAGTTTGTGTCGAGTGGACGTTAAACCCCATCTCTCTCTCTCTCTCTCTCTTTCTCTCTCTCTCTCTTTTACACAGAATAATCCCTAAAAGTATAAGCTTCTAAACATTAATAGCTTTATTAAATAGTATTTAAATATTATTACATATTTCATTACTGTATTTATAACATGTATATATTGATGTCCACTCAACCGTGAAGTATATTGACGGAGCCCAGTTAATTATATGATCAATAAATGACAAAATACCTTAATATAAGATATAATTAATATCATGGTTCAATAAACACAAACTTGTATTCTTATTTATAATCTTCAATTGAAATTAGGGTCACTTAAAGTAGCTTAGTCTCTAATTCAATATCATCCAAAGTCTTTAACATTGAAAACACGAATTATATGTCAATTTAAATCAAAATTGATGTTGTGATTTTACAAGGAAAACGTGGGCTTCTCATATCCAATATTTAGTTCAAGAGTCTTAATTTCAAGAGGTAAAGAGACGGCGTCGTAAATGAAATGGGGTTTAACGTCCTATTGGTTTGCATCGTAAATGAAATGAAATTGGGTTTAACGTCCTACTGTTCTGCTCCTACTGGGCTAATGAAGACGGGTATGCCATACGCAATGCAGTGTGCTATGAGGGCAATTTTACCTGGACAGCAGCGCTACGGCCGGATCTTATATCGTAATCCAACTGCCAAAAGGTCTTTAACGTGCACGCTAATGTGTACACGGGATCTCGGTAGCACGCCGGAAAATCCCGCCATACATTGTAGCCTACTATGGGGGACATTGAAAGTCAAATTGTTTAGATCACAAAACGAAGAATTAGCTCTTGGCTCTCCGCCCCCTCTCGACAATCGAAATACTCGATTTGAAGTATGCTCTAGTCTCGGTTACCCAGAATTCAATCAACAGAAGTAATTGCACCTTAGCATCAACTAGAGCCTGGATATCGCTAGCTTCCAATCAAAAGTGGGAGTCACGGTGGTTCAGTCAGGAAGACGCAACTGGCTCGCTAACCAGGACATCTCGCGTTCGTTGTTCAGGATTTTCCGGCGTGGTTTCCCCTTGTCATTGGAGCAGATACAAAGGGTCTGGCAAGGGCAGTGTCTAGTTGTCCGAATGGGACGAACAACCAAGATCGCGTGTACACATGGGCATGCACACAAAAGAACCCCTGACGGTTGAAAATCGAAATAAAAGTAGGCCGTGGCGCCGCTGTCCGGACAAAATGTCTCTCATAGAACAATGTATGGCCTATACCCGCCTTTTTAATGGCATTACTTTACGTTAATTTAATTCGTGAGTTTTTTCACGGTGATTCAACCCAATGTCGACAATCTGCACCGAGGTCTACAATTTTTTTTTTGTGTAAATGAAAACATGCAATACGAGAATACAACAAGAAAGAGAGAACAAAATTATTTTATTTCTTTTTTCACCTAATGAAAACAGTTTCCGTAACATTGACCGACTAATGACAATATGGCGGCCATGTGTGGTACACTTGCTGCCTAGCGACAATGATTTCCGGTGCGACGTAGACTGAAGGAAAAAAAATGTCTACTTGTCGAAGGTTAAAGTGGTATCAAGTTTACTTTGCTATCTTTACGTGGCAGTATCACGGCTATTGACAATCACAGATAGAACTGAAAAGTAGGAAGTGTGACGAGAGTATACCATGACAGCAACAGCTATAATAATTCCCCCCCCCCCCGCCACAAACCCCTTCAAACACACTCGCCCATCATAAACAAAATACAGTCCTATTTTCAAAAAGCCAGATAGTACAGCCAATGCGCCGCAGTCTGAGGTGAATAAAACAAATGAAATTTCGGTTTGATGTGGTATTTTTCTATGTAAACCTGGCTAACGAAGAGATTTATACAACGCCAGAAAACTCGTTGGGGACAGACCACAGTTAGTTAAATATACATTAGTTTTAGTGTTAGTAAGTCACTGTAGGTGGTTCTATATCGTGTTCCACGCCTATATTCTATGAATGATCAAAGGAGTCGGGTGGGCTGGTGGGTTAATATCATAAGATCTGTCATTAAACACAGATTATGCAAGAGCTAAATCTGTCTAGTGCAGGTCTCTCTTTAGGCCTGATCCAGACCATAATCAACTCTCGATGGCATCGCTAGCCTGCGATATTTACTGGATTAGAACCCGGTCTCCTGCTTCTGATTAAATCAAAAAATGGATAATCGAGACTAAGTATTTTATCGTACCGACTTTAGTAATGATGATCGAGGCTAGGCCCAAAATTCGATCACTAAATACTCGGTTCAGAGTGGATCTATTTGACTGAAATTTTCAGCAAATTCCCTTTACATTATCTAGTTTTTAACTATTGTAGACAGAACTACCAGCTCTTTATCTAATCTCCCATAATGTATCTTTAAACATGCTACTTATCGGCACCAATGAAGATGGGCATACGCCATGCAGTGTGCTATGAGGTGCCTAGAAGCGGCGCAACGGCCTACTTTTATTAGATTTATTTGAATTTCCAACTGTCTTTGGGTCTTCAACAAGTTACCAGGATCTGGCTAGAAGGAAACACCGTTGTCCGGGCAAAATGTACCTCAAATTTTCCGGTGTGGATTCCCCTAGTCTGTGGTGCAGGACAGCTGTCTAGTCGTGCAGATGGGACGAAAAACCGACATCCTGTGTCCACATTGGCGTGCGCGTAAAAGATCCCTTGGCAGTTGGTATTCGATATAAGAGTAAACCATAGTGCTGCTGCCCGGGCACACTGTATGGTGTATGCCTGTCTTCATTAGGAGGATCACGTGGCTAAGTGGGTAAGACGCTGGCTCGCTATCCTGTAGGTCGGGTGTTCGATCCCTGCATTGGCCGAGAAAGTTCATCCAGATTTTCCGGCGTGGTTTCCCCTTGTCAGTGATGCAGGACGAATGGTCTGACAAGGACAGCTGTCTAGTCGTTCGGATGGGACGAAAAAACGAGGTCCCGTGTACATATTGGCGTGCACGTAAAAGATCCCTTGGTAGTTGGAATTCGATATAGAGTAGGCCGTAGAAACGCTGCCCGGGCAAAATTTCCGCTCATAGCATACTGTATGGCGTATGCCCGCCTTCATTAGCTCATGGGTGCAGAAAAGTAGGACGTTAAACCCTATTTCATTTCATTTCATTTCATTTCGTTTCCTTCTAGTATTGGTCACATGGTTGCCACATGTATGAAATAAGACCTCTGTAAAATCTGGACTATAATTACACCATTACAAGTGGCTCTACTTCATTCATCATGTAAAAAAACCTTGTCTGCTGTCATTCAGTTCACGTCTGCTCCTATACAGTGGAACAGTAACCATGCATTCAGACTGCTGGAAAACGGCAGAAACAGAACGAAATAGCTGAATTAACAAATTTAAGAATGTTCTTATAAAATAATCTGGGATGCCACGATGGCTAAGTGAGTAGGATGCTAACTCGGTACTAGCCTGGAGGTCGCGTGTTCGATCCCTGCATTGGTCGAGAAATTTCATCGGGATTTTACGGCGTGGTTCGCCTTGTCAGTGGTGCAGGACGGAGGGCCTGACAGGGACAGCTGTCTAGTCGTTCAGATGGGACGAAAAACCGAGGACCCGTGTGTACATTGTCGTGTACGTAAAAGATCCCCTGGCAGTTGGAATTCGATATAAGAGTAGGCGATAGCCCAGCAGAATTTCCCTCATAGCACACTGTATGGCGTATGCGCGTCTTCATTAGCCCAGTAGGAGCAGAACAGTAGGACGTTAAACCTCATTTCATTTAATACGCATATTTGAGTCACGACGTTCCTGGTACATGGGTTCAATAAAAATCTATATTATAGTAAGTACAGTAAGGCCTATATTATTCATTATAACTAAATAAATATTCCCCGTGATTCAACCATTCAACCACATACATGTAATATATACTCATGTCAACCCGACAAAAAATAG